ATCTAGAACTTCTAAAGCTTCTAAAGCATTATCTGACACAAGATCAAAAACAAAAGAAGGTCAAAGAGATAGACAACGAGCATATAGAGCTTCTTTAAGTAAAGCACAAAAAGAAAAAATAAAAGAAAAAGATAAAAAAAGAATGAAGAAAATTTATAAAAAGCAAAAACAAGAACAATTTGAACAATTTTATAAAATAGAATATTGTAGTTTAGATGAATATCAGAAGGAGGTCGAAAATAATAGTGGGGATAATAATAGAAATGATGATGAAGATAATGATGGAGATGATGATGAAGATGATAATGGAGATGATGATGAGGATGATGATAGGGATAATGGTGGGGATGATAGTGATGATGATGATGATGGTAATAATGATGGGAATGATAAAAAGAACATTGGGGGTCATAGTGTGGAGAAAATGGATATTGAATGTAAACATTGTGGGGCATTAAGATAGAAGGGAGAAAAACCAGGACTTTGTTGTATGAATAGTGAAGTTGTATTAGCACCACTTCAAGCACCACCACCAGAAATTTATTATTTTCTTACAGAAAAAGATCTAATATCTAAAGTACTATTTGTTAACCATATAATCAAGCATTTGCTTTTACATCAATTGCTACTGATTTAGATTTGAGTGTTGCCAATGAAAAAAAGGGGACATATTGCTATAGAATTCAGGGTAATTATTATCATCAAATTAGCTCATCTTTGCCAGAACAAGGGGAAATACCAAAATTTTTCCAAATATATTTTCATGATTCTTCAGATATTGAAGCACAAATTGATAGAATACATGATATAATGAAGCAATTATTAAACAGGAAAATGATAAGTATTATTCAAAATGTATTAATAGATCTAATCCTTTTGTAAACACTTATATATCTGCAGGAAATGAGGATTTACAAGATCCTCTATATTATATTTTAATACATAAGATATGAGACAATATAATGCACCATTGGCTAAGGAAGTAGCTGCAATTTGTTTTTCTAATGAAACTATGCATGTAAGAGATATTTATTGTAAGATATGATGACGAATTAGAAAGAATATTTGAATTACATAGTGCATATAATCCTTTAGCATATCTTTTGCTATTTCTACGTGGAGAATATGGTTGGTATAAAGGAATATTAAAAAGGGATGAAATTGAATCAGATAATGATGATGATGATGATGATTATGATGAACCAAATTATTTGTACTGGACTAAACAAAAAATGAAGGCCCATGCAAAAGAAATTAAAGAAAAGAAAAAAGAAAAAGAGCTTTTAAAAAAAAAATAGCTCAATACCCTGAAGCCTCTAAAACTTCTGAAGCTGAAGCTAAAGCAAGTGGTACTTCTAATATTGACTTTGGTACTTTATTAAAAAGAGAATTACAAAGTCAAACAGGATTATCAAGTATTTTAGAATCTGCAACTATTAAGAGTTCATCAAGTATAAACCTTGATAATAAAAATATTAATACAGATGATAAAGAATATTTGGAAAGTAGATCTTTTATAAAAAAAGAGAAAAAAAGAGCTAGAGAAGAAACAGAAGAAGTTTAAGCTCAAACAGAAGATGATAATGATCTTTATAATCCTGTAATAAAAAAAAATTGGTATCTAAAAGCAAAAAAGTTGAATTGATAAAAATGGAATCTCTGAATCAGAAAGACTATCTGATAATGATAAAGATAATGGTAGTGATAAAGATGATAATAGTGATGTGATGATGATGATGATAATGATAGTGATAATGATGATAGTGATATAGAGAAACCATCAAAAATTCAACCAAAATCAAAAAAAAAAAAAAAAAACTGTAACTATTAGGAAGTTTGCAGCTTATAGATTTATGATTAGAAACTACAACAAAAATAATAGCATTCTACATCTTTTAGACAGATTGTTTTAACAATATATAGTAAACCAGTATGTAAAATAGGAAACAAATAATTTAAGTTGGCATTACAAAAATCAAAAAGATTTAAGATCAGCAATCTATCAAGGATTGCAAGATA